TTAAAAACCACACCAGCACCACCATCCTGGTATGTAGCCAAGGGAGAAAAGGATGGAGGTTGAAACACTGACAGGCTGCTTGTGCTGCTGCTAAGGTAGCTCCTAACTTGTGATTTAGTAAAGAAATAATGATGTGCAATAATTTAGAATGGTCTCTCTGTCTTCTAGTCATAAATCTCCTTTGCTAGGAAGAAGAGGCAAGATGTCTTTCTTTCTCCTTGCTGGATGCTGTCCATGTTTAGGTGGCTTTGCATACAGGAGGCAATTCGTGCTGCAAATGCACAACTCTTCTAGTATCCATCTGCCATCCTTTTCATCTGTGCCAGTAGCAACTCCATATAAATCCTGCGGTGCTTATGGTTGCAGGAAGCATCTCTTGGATAAAAGATAGCTTCTGGCAAGCATGCCAGTTTTTTTTTTTTTTGTTTGTTTTTTTTTCTTGGGTTCTTCTTTTTTTTTTTTTTTTTTTTTTTTTTTTTTTTTTAAATACGTGAGCCTCGGGTTTTTCTTCCTGTCAGTTCTGCTACAATGAGACTTTTTTATTGTGGAAAGGATGTATACACATTTTTAACTGTGTTGCTGAGTTAACCACTCAGGAGAAATGCTGGAGAATTCCAAACCCTGGTACCACTGGAGAGGAGTTATTACATCTTAGACTTTTTAAATGCAGGTTGCAAGTACAAATTTTCTTTTGCTGTTTTTAATTTGCTTTAAAAAGCAAAATTAGAAACACACATTCAAGCTCACACCTGCTTTTATACCTGCTGACTTGTGATACGAGACAAGATGTGTCTCATGTACTAACAACAAAGCCTTTTTTTTTTCTAAGTGACTAAATAATCCCATACTTTTGAAGTTCTCAACACTGCAAAAGAATTATGGTATTTATTTAAGGGTTTGAAGATGTAATTAAGCATCTAATTTTAAACCTGCACAGTCAATAGTGTTGTACTTTGCTAACAAGTTACTTCCTTTTTATGGTGTCTGCCAACTGCTGAAGTATGCATTAGTGCATTGACATATTAATGCATTTTAGTAATGGAGGTACCTGATCAAGCAGCAGCCAAATGACCACAAAATAAATGTCTGAGTTGAAATCAGAACCTGCCATAAACAACAGAAAACTGCTTGCCTTTATCTTGTACTGACATCCCTGTTCCCATCTGACTTGAAAAACTGGAGATGGTTGGTGGAGCCCTTATAGTCTTAGGACCCAGCATCCCCTCTTATCCATTACTACATTTATGGTAAAATGCAGTATTTTCTTGGGCCTTCTTCATGCCTTTGCTTCCCCCTTTCTTTGGCTCATTTTTTCCAGAATAGCAGTATGTTCCTGTAATTCTAATTAAGCATATTCTGATTTGCTCATAAGTTAAAATCAAATACTTAGCTATTACTAATACTCTCTAGCCTACCTGATCATAATGAGGTACGGGCCTTCCCCAGATCCTGGGTGGAGCTTTCTTCCTTGTCTTAGAGCTGACCTGGAGCAGTGAAGGTGGCTGTGCACCCTCTGTGTTCACTGAATTACTGCAGGCACTCCCCAGCTGTTGCTGATCTTGGCTTTCCAGTATTGCTTGCCTATCACTCGCTTGCCAGATTCTGTATGCTGGATGCTCCTTGAGATGACATTTGAATATAGTCCAATTTTTCCCAGTGGGGAGGTGTGACACCAAACCAGTAGGAGAACTGGCATTCTCAGCTCCAGCAGATACAGCAATGTCACCCAGTTTGTACTGATCTGTTGAACAGCAAACCTGTCATGTAAGGGACAGTCAGAAAATTACGAGACAGGTGTTTAACACTGCAGAAGCAATCTTGGTATTTAGCATGCTGAGAATACCAGCTAATCATGGAAGGCTTGCCTAGATGTCTGGATTCCTTTGGCTCCTGAGGTATTTTGTAGATGCTGACAGCCAGTGTGAACTTTAAATCAATTTATTGCATATGTTTACATATGCAGCGAAACCATTTGCCATACCATTTAACTACACAGAGTGAATTGTTGACCATGAGCTGATCTGACCTTTTCAGGTCTAATCAAGAAGTCTGAAATATTATTTTAGCCTGTCAGCTCCAGTAATATGCTGTAAGAGTATCTGGATCTAACTGAAAATGTCAAATGTGCTCCAATATGCAACCCATCAAAGTTACGATGCAGGAACCAGTTAAGAATATAAATCTGTAACATCTGTGGTGCATCTCAATTGCCTGGTTGAGTTGTTCTGCCATGGATACAAGCTAGCTAAAAATGTGGACTAAAAGCAATTCTTCAGAATACATGTGAGGTGTACAGCCACCTAAATATTAAAATGTTCTTGGAAGAGGGGTGATAATACCAAGTTAGAATACTGCTGGAAAAAACAGGACCCAACCTGGATACTCATGCTCTAGGGACTTTCTTGCTAGCTTTAGTGTGCGGTTACATAAGATTAGTGGTCTCGTGTAACCTCAGAGTTTTTCTTTCTAATTTTAATAATTTGCTGCTTGTGAAGATTTTGCTCTTTCAAATAATAATCTATTATATAAGCTGAGGTACCCCTCATGCAATCTTATTGCATTTAGTAGTAAAAATTTTTCATAGTCTTATGCATTTAATGAAAAATCTACTTCTCTATTTAAAGGTGTTCTAAAAATCAACACTTATAAGCAGAGTATTTAATGATGTTTAATTTTTTTCCTCACCTTCAAAATTTCTCTTCTTGACATTTTATAAGACACTCAGATCTAGGATAAATCTGCCTTCAATAATTATTTATCAAGCACGAGATCAATTGTTTATCAGTATAATTTCTGGATTATTAATTTATATTTGGATTAAAGTGTATGGGTGGAATGAAAAACAACTTTGTATCCTATGAAAATGATATTTTTTTAGCTAAACAGTCTATCAAAATTGTTTAGCCTTAAAACACTTGTTACACTAAAACTGAGTTGCTTTTATCTGATTGTGGGTAGTTCTTGCAATTTGAGGTGCTATTAACCGAATTGCTACTATTAGTAAAACGTTGTTGGAAGTAGAATTAAAATGAACTATGGGAAGAATTGCTGAACCGCTAAGTGCATTGAAAACAGTGTTTTAAATTCTCCACTTTAACGCTATTTGTACTGTTCTTACTAGGCAATGCTGCCCTCCCCTGGTATGCTGTGAAAAGCAGGAATTTTTATCCCAGTCTGAGCCAGTTCTAGAGCTTCCTGTTGAAGAGAAACTGGTGGATTGGTGAAAACGGTGGGAGAAAAAATGCTCCTAAACAGACCATTATATACTTTCTCTCTTAAGAGAGAAAGAAAACTCCAAACAAATAATAAAACAGACATTTTGTGCAGTGCTTTCTTGTATGCATGATGCAGACGTAGATTAATGTACAAATAATATACACTAAATCTCCTGTTAATAAATGATAGAGGGCTGAATTAAGTTTGTATGGCAATTTGGAGGATGAATTAAAGACAAAATAAAATAAAAATTGAAGATGCAAGGTGGCAGAAGGACCAATTACAAGGAACTTTTCTACAACAGCAAGGTTTTGTCTTGTAAACATGAATGATAGATCTCTAAACATTATATATATGTTCAATTCTGCAATAGAGAAGTAAATGTGACCATGGCCAGCAGCTTGCATGGGAATAGGACCAGGTCTTGTGCAAATGAAGCTGTAGCAAAACCATCATCTGCTGTCAGGGTCTGTTGATTACAAGGCTATCACCACAAGCTCAGGAAGTCCCTTCACTGCACAGTCCTGAGAGCTGAGAGGTAGTCCAAGGAAATATTACTGTTGCATGGTCTGTTCTTTAATGTATTTCCTCAGGCGTCTGGTACTAACTGCTGCTGGAATAGAATATTGGGGTAGAAGATTCTTTAGGCTGTCTTACTGTGGCTCTTATGTGTTAAATGCATCTCTGTTTGCTTTAATTTTGTAATCCATTTCTCACTGCTAGGCAATTTCACCATAGTCCAGATAGCAGAAACAGCTAAGCCTTGTTGCAAATACAGGAATTTTAGTTCCCACATCTGAGTCTAGTAAAGTGTGTGGAGTGAACTTTGCTTTTTTGTTTGTTTGTTTGTTTTTAAGGTAGACAATATCACTTTCTTTTTATGGTTAAGATTTTTCTAATTGCTGGGCAACTTGAAAAACACACAACTTTTTTTCCCTGAGGCATGTGACTTGACTTATGTTTAGCTTGCTCCTCACTCCTTTTAATGCATTGGAGATCACCTAACACTGGAGAAAACTGGAGAGAGTATGTTTGCATATTTTTTCATGTCTTAGATCTGAACAGATTGCCACATCAGGAGGGAGGTGTTTCCCCGAGATGGGTTTGCTTGAGGACTTTGCTTGAGTGCGAGTCCTTGTCTACTACTTAGGGTCAAGTCACCTGGGAGATGTTTTAAGAGCTGTGGAATATAATGACATTCCCAATCTGACTTGCTCTTCTCCAGTTAGAGTTACAGCTTGTAGTGGTGTTGATATTTTACTGCAACCTTTTACAGTAAGGTCTAGGAGTTGTTCTGTGTCTATGGTGTCTGCCAATCCACAGAGCAGGTGTGGGCCATTCTGAGCTCGACTCCAACTAGTAAGTGACCTGTGACTTTGGCAGATAGAACCTGAAAATCCCAGTGGTCTTTCACAGGCTGTTGTTTCTAAAGTGACATTGCTGGCAGCAAAACAGTATTTGAATTCATGCACATCAGCAAGTAAGCTACAATAATCAATTCTTTTGGGAGCTAGCTGTAAAACCACTGCAAGTATGGCTCCAAAGTAGTTTAAGGTTGAGCTAAATCAACAGATAAGACACCTTTTCCTTTGTGACACCCTGCCACAGTAAAACCAGTTTTGTAGGTTCTTTTTTGTCAGATCAGTATTTTGCCAGTGCAGCATCCCCATTCAGCTCATTGAATGGTTCATGTGAACAGCAGTGGTGTTGCCCCTCGACCTCAAATAAATGTATGAGGTCTAGCACTGTATAACAGCTTTCTTTCTTCTCCATAACTTTTGCAGGTATTGGGGCTGCTGGTGTGGACCCTGGTTGCTGGAACAGAATACTTTCTCTATCCAGCCTTTGGCTGGGTAATGTTTGTAGCTGTGTTCTACTGGGTTCTTACCGTCTTCTTTCTGATCATCTACATGACAATGACCTACACTAGGATCCCACAGGTGCCATGGACCATGGTGGTAAATATACACATTCTTTGTTGTTCCAGATTTGCTGGGTTTTGAAGAGAATAATATATTGGTGCATTCTACATGTATATTTAACCAACTCTACTTGTACTCTTTGCAGATTTTTCCCTAATTACTGTGTGGCTGCATACCTGCAGTGTTTAACTTTCATACTACTCTTTCAAAGCACTTTTTCTATGATGTTTCTCCATTTTGTTCAGTGATTTATGTAGTGTCTTTATTTTTAATATGTGTGTGACTGATACTTATGCACAGTGACCTCTTTTTCTCCCTCTAGTGGTTATGTCCCATGAAGAATGAGTCTGTTGCTGCCTCTGAGGTAACAGACTTGGCCATATGGCTTAAACAGCAGAAATCCCTACTGGAATCAACACCATGCATTAGAAGCAGGACTTGGGCTCTTAAAACATGAGTCTTCCTCTGCTGAAGTTAAAGCAAGGATAGTTCAGAGGCTACAACACTCTGACAGCCCATATGTAGTCTACTGTGAAAATGGTGCTGAAAATTATATATATGTAAAATATGTACCAGCAATCCTTTGCTTTGAGCTCAAGAGTTAAAGCAAATCAGATAAACAGCTACTGTAATTACAGAAAAATTTCACAGGCACTTAAAATGCAGATCCAGTTTTTATGGTTTGAGTAAACCTGGCCAGCTCTAACTCTCAACAGTATATTTTTACCTCATTTGCATAACAGTCTGGTCTTCAGGATAGTAGATCCTAAAAGTCATTGTCATTTCAGCCAACTGGCTATTTGTGACCCATCTAAGAACCACCATAAATTTTATCTTTGCATTTGTTGGATACAGTGAAATACTGGTTTGTGTTTTTTTGGGGTTTTCTTTGTTTTTGGTTTTTTTTTTTTTTTGGGTTTTTTTAACAGTTAAGTATTATTGACTAGAATTCTGTTATTTCTATGATGAAATGTATTTGACTAACAGCTTGTTTTCAGTTATATTGTGTATGTGACTAAAATTGAATACTAGAATACTCTTCGCTTTTAGTGTTCCCATTTGCTGCTGCAATAAATAGCCAGCTATAGCAATTACTAATAAGAACAACCAGGATTATGTTCAGCTAGCTTCTCTATTTTCAAGTTTCATAACCAGCAATTACCATTAAGGCTGTAACACTGCTATAGAAATGTTGGATTATTTCAATTACAGCAGTAATGTGTCTGAGTACATTTAAAGGTGTGGGTTTTTTTTTTTTTCCACCCATTGCATTACAAGTAAGTACAGTACATTCAAAGGGAAAGCACCTTTATATCCATTTGAATAAAGCTTTGGTCATTACCCTTCTTTCATCAGCCGAATGCTATTAGGAGACAACTGCACATAAATGAGTTGCCCCTGATCTATGTGGTAGACAATCTGGAATATTTGATTTCTTTATAATCCATATTGAGTATATTTCTGAGTTCCAAATATATTGTAGATATACATAAACATAAGTCCAAAAGGTAGTCTCCTTTTATATAAAAGGGTCATATAAAGAGACAATAAATGCAAAACAAATAAAAGATGTTTGTGTTCCAGCTTGTTTTGCCCTAAGGTATTAAAATAGCTTTTGGGAACAGCCCTTGAATTGGTCCTCTGTTGCTCCTGTATGGCCAAGAGGAGCGTTGAATCTCTTTTCAGAGAGGTGCTTTTAAAGTCTTTGTAGGAAAGAGCAAGACACATGCCTTTTTGAGTGAGTTTGCACCCACCTTTACCCTATTCTCTGAAGAATCCTGAATTTCAGTATCTGCCAGTTAGTCCTCTGCTTCCTTAGGCAACTGTTAGCTCAAACTGTTCCTATTTTACTCAGTATCCAAAATTACATCTGGACGTCTCTGTCATAAATGCACTTTTTGCAGGTTAAGCACATTACCAAATTGCTTAAGATGCAGTAACTTTTACTGCAAATTAACTCAAAAGATGTGCTTCAAAACTGACTCTCCTTCATAGTGCAAGTTTTTTGCTAAAAAAATCAATGTAAGCTTTTAAAATCTGGTGAATTTGAATTTAAGAAGCAGATGGTAATTTAGCATGAACCATTTGGTTTGAGTAATATATTGGCAGCAAAGGCCCAATCAGCTTGCACTGCATCCCATCTTCCCCAACAGTGTTATTTCCCAGAGCAGCACTTTGCAGAAATTATGTGCTTTTTTCTTTTTTCTACATGACAAGATATTGCAGGGATTTATAGCTTTCCAGGGTAATTGAGTCTTTTTGGAATGGGAAATCTGAAAATTACAACAAATACTCTAGGTAATCAAATTTGGAGTTTCTAAATCAGTGCTTTAGAGAAGTTCACCAGAACCTGCCAGTTTTTGGCATCTCATCCTAAAATTGACAGTTTGATATTTTATCGCTGTTCTGCTCAGATAAAACAAGGGGTGATATCTGTGGATAGACATAGTACCTTTTATTAAACAAACTATATAGGTGAGATGAGCCCACCACTGATTTGTGGGGGTTCAAATCTCAAGTGCCAGTCCTTGAACTCCATCTGAGTGCTGAGGCACTGCCCAGCCCAGATCCCTGCAGAAGGATAAGTGGATCTTTTCTACTGTTCCTTCTTAATTTCTCTTCTTGAGCTGCAGATTTTTTTTTTTAGATTTTGCCAAAGCTGGTGAAAAGTGAATTAAATTTTGGGTAATTGGCATAAATTCCTAGCATCCACTGGGACACAGAGTGGGAATTAATAATTTGGAGTTGCACCAGTATGGCAACATTTAGGCAACTAGAGCAACAGACTTAGAGGTTATATTCGTGTGACAGTCTAGAGTGCAAAACTGGGGTCAGAAGCTGAAGGGAGCTGATTATGTACATGAAGACCAGGTCTCTATTGAGTAACCCATTCCTGCAATTGTATCTAGATGCAAAGTATATCAGAGGCATTCCACCTAAACATGGCACCAAATTTGTATGCCTTAAACAAGTATCAGGGTGGAATTTGAAGGGATTTAATTTTTTTTTAAATAAGAAGAAACTTCCATGACCAAATAGTGAAAAAGTAAAGGACAAAGTATTAAAATAATGTACTTTATAAAAACCCTCATACATTTTTCTCTTTCATCTTCTTAGACATCTGTTCTTCTTCCTTTCCTGTTCTTCCTTACATGCAAAAACCAAACAAACTTTTTGCTTGCTCTCTGTAGGGTTATGTGAGTTCATTGTTATCTGCTTTGCTTATTTCTTAGTAATAAATGTAAGTACCCTGAGACATTAACTTTGCTTCTTGAAAGAAAATGCATCTGCCATGGGTCTTGATGACCCATGAAGTCCAGTCAGACTGTTCTCCTCCTTGGATTTGCCTAAAAACAGACAGAAGGGAAAGGTACTGAGAGATAGAAGAAGACCACTGAAAAAAAAAGTCACTCTCTTTATGTCCTTCAATAGTATAGAAAACAAAGTTTTGGAAGCTTTATAAATATTCTCCATATGCCAGGAGTTATTGATTCCTTTCTTTGTTTAGATCAGAAATGTAATCAAAGTGCAACTTAGTCTTGTTTCTTTGTTGTATTTTTTATTATGTAGAGTTATATTCTTACTTCCTAACCCTTAGATTGCCGTAACCAAACTGAGTCTTTATTTTCATTTCTGGAAAATCACAGCACACCAACTTTAAGACTTTTCTGGATTTAGTGTAATGGAGAGAACAGTTTGTCCAAAATATGGCTCAATGTTTATGGATCTTCAAAGCAGTTACATTTTAATCTGACAGATAGAAACATGGAAGAAGGCAAAAAATAGTTAAGAATGACAATTCTGGTGTACACTGCATGTGTTCAATGTATTTCCAAAGACAGTTTTGTCATGTTGGAAAACAAATGCCTGTGCATATTAATGACATATATTTGTCTTTTCAACAGGGCCTGTGTTTTAATGGAAGTGCCTTTGTTTTATATCTCATTGCTGCCATTGTAGATGCATCTTCAGTTACCAAAGATCTGGACAATCACAATTACAACAGCTGGGCAGCTTCTTCAGTGAGTTAATTTTTTGTTCAAATCAGTTCTATGTCTGGTAAAGTTATAGCAAATGAAGGCTTGTTGGAAGTATGGGTTGAACTTGCAGGTGTTCTGCATTTTGAAAAGCTGCAGAGTGATAGAGGTCATACACAAAACCTATAAGTAGCTGCAATTTAGTTAATTATTTTTAGAGGTGGCTAGAAATTCCATCAGATAACAGTCACATCAGAAAAGGCAGTAATGTTTTTAAGATCACACTGACTTCCTCCTCCCTTGCCCCCATTTATTACCATCTCTCTGGCTGAGGTCAGAGCCTGCACATCAGAGCAGACCAAAAAGATTGTGTGAGCATCGAGTCACCCCAATGCACTTGGACAAGTTCAAAAGCAGTTTAACTCAGCTAACTCTGCATACTTATGCATAAGATGCATTCAGCTTTCTGTGGGCTGAGCTATTGTCCACATTGTCCACAGAGCACCTTGGGAAAGCCCTGGAATGCTATTGCTATTTCCACAGTGATCTTCCTGTTGCAAGGGCAACGCGTGAAAAACCATGTAACGTGATGAAATCACTAATTAGTCTGATATTACTATCTTAGTGCTTAGATTTAGAAATCCAAAATAGTCAAAATGGATAAAAAATAACTTAAAAGCAAAACAAAAAAGGAACAGAAAAGAAAAAGCCCTGTCACTTTTTGATTTAGCTGAACACATTCCCTAGCAAAGTTAAGGGAGTTGTAAAAGAACTTCTTTCATGTTGTGGCAACAGGAGTCAAATTCAATTATATACAGGAATTCCAAATTACTGAGTGTTCATGCCTCTGCAGTTGTCCTTTCCTGACTATTCACAAATCCTGTCTTAAGCTTATTTTGTATGGCCATGAACACAGGAACTTGAACACCTGCTCTGTTTTTGTGCTGGGAATTGGATCATTAAATCCCTGTCATTTCAGTGGTGTTCAGGGTCTTCTCCTCTTGGCAGTTTGTAACTGCAGATCTGTTACTCAGCCACTGCAGCTGACAGGAACTTGCTTGCAGCTGGATAAGCTTCCATGCTGATTCAGGTTTTATGCAAAATGCATGACTGTTCAGTGTCTCATGGGAGGTTTGAATTCCCTTCTAATACTTCCTAATAATGTTTATCTAATACAGTGTCTAAATAAACTATTAAATGTAGATTCTTGCTTTCAAAATCCATTAAGGGCTTCCTGGATAGAGGATTTAGCAAATAATCTATCCCCAATAGTAATTCTGTTAGATTTTAGATTGAGCTTTTATTTAATAAGAAACAAAATAATTGGAAAAAGAAGAATGCTACAGTATTTTATTGTAATAAGATTTTACATAGTCATCTACAGTTTTTTGGAGTTAGAGATTAAATTTGCACTAGACAATGCTCACCAAGAGCCCTCTGTTGAAAGGCCTAGATTGCCTGGATTAATGCTCAGCAATGCCTACCCATGCCAATGATGGCATATAAGCCAGAAACAACTGTAGAATCATTAAATATTTTTAGGCTGGAAGGGACTTCTTGGACGTCATCTGGTCCAACTCTCTCCACTCCTACAGCAGGGCTAACTCATATCAGGCCACCAAGGCCTTGTCCACTTGAATTTAAGTATTTCCAAACATAGCTATTCCACAATGCCTGTTGTGCCTGTTTGATTACTCACACTGTGGGTTGGGGTTTTTTTTTCCTAATATCTAATTGAAATTTCCTGTCCTGTAATTTGTGTTTGTTCCTTCTTGTCCTCTCATTGCTCACCTCTTAGAAAAGTGGTGTTAATCTCATTTGCAGTGGCAGCTTTACTTGATTCAGTTACTAGCACAAAACATTGTGGTATTTTCATTAAGACCATGTTGAATCTTGTCTGTTTTGAACAGCATGCAGTGATTAACAAGAACTTAAGCACTAGTGCTGAACTGGACTTTACCAGTATAAGTGAGATAAATCTAGCCTGCTATAGAAGGCTTATAATGTTACCAATTTCTGACAATGTAGTAATATGACAGTGTGGTTGCTGACACTGGAATATCTTTATTCATCATCAGAAGATCTCTGGAATTGATAACCTAATCAGCAGCGCTGTTTGAGAACACATCTAGGCCTGCATTTGAATCCAACCTTTCTCTGTAAGCAAACAGATGCACTGTGTGCCATGCTGAGGTACAGGGGGGCTGTAGGCAATATCTGGAACACAGCAGCAGGGCAGGAGTGTTAGCTTGAGCTCACATTGTCCCACAGACAATTTCTCAGCCTCTAAAAGTGGCAAGTATTTAGATTGTTGGCAGTCCAATCTGTAAAATCCATACTGAGGCTGTATAATGAGGAATTTATAAAAAAAGTTGAAATATGCCAAGTTTTGTCTGCTCCAAACCCATATATCCATGCACAGTATAAGCTTAATTCTACACAGTGTTGGCTGCCATGGCCACACAAGCACGAGATGAGAATGTGCCATTTTTATCAGCTTGCTATTTTCCTTTTTCCCAAGTCCCATAACCACATTTTTTCTTTAGAAATTACAGTGCTCTCAAATATATTTATTTCCTAATCTATTTTTTCCTCTCTCTCAACAGTTCTTTGCCTTCGTGGTTACCTCCTGCTATGCTGGAAATACATATTTTAGCTTTATATCCTGGCGATCACGAACTTTGCAGTAAATACTTTGTTAAAGTGAATTCTGTAGTGTAAAGTACCTTGAGGATTATTCACTTTTTATAAAAGCTTGGAAGAGGGGTGAGGTATTTTTGAACATTCCTCCTAGAATTGACACAATATAAACTGAAATAAATTGATTATTTATAATAATGCCATCTTTAGAGACATTTTTAACCTGACTTTGTACTATATAATAAAATTTCATACTGCTTCTTTTAAAATTAACATAGTATTTTTCTAGACATTGTATAGTTGTTACTACTAGACCTTAAAAAAAAATCTTACACAATGTGCCACCAATGGAAATGTAACTTTTTAAATGTTACAGTTTTACTTTTGTTACTGAAGGCTATCAAAACTAAGATTTATATTGTATCATTATTATGCATGAAAAAGTGACATTGTGCAGAAAAAAAAACCCACCTGAAAGTTAAATAAATAAATAAATAAATGATCCAACTGTTTTGTAAACTGAGAGTAGAAGGTTGCTATTTTACTTTCTTTTTCAGAGTACAATACGTACTACCAAGAATTCTGGTGATCTTGTCAATGTGCATAGTCTAACAGCTTCTCACACCACAAGGCTGTCTTTGGAACCTGCTGCTGTAGGTCTGAAGCTCAGGTCTAAAGCTGAAGAAATGTTCAAAAGCAGAACACATTATCTTAACAGGTTTCTCAGCTCCAACAGGTTCCAAAGCAGGAGCCCAGACAGCACCCCCTTAGTGCCTGGTGCTTAACCTACTGAGGGCATCACAAATCTCTGGCTAAAGGTAACACTTCTTGTTTCTCAGCAGACTATGGTTGGCTTTTCTTCTCAGATTAGGCCATTACTCTCTCTCTTATTAAAATCTGGGCCTTTAAATCCTATTAAATGATACAAAGATTAAATCCACAGAAGAATTGTCAAGACACCAGTGCTACAAGCAAGGAATTTCCTCCCTCCTTTCCTGTCTACTGGCATAATCTGCAATTTGTTAGTTTAACAAATGAAGTTGGTACTCCTATTTAAATAACTTTGAATCAAGCAGAAGTATGACAGAATATGACTTTCAAAACAGATACCTTTGAAAATTACTTTCAAATACAAATTACCTAAGGATTTTTTTTCCCCAGAAATTACATGGTGACTGAAAGGTTGTGATTATTTTATGATGTTATTTAAAGCTTTCCTCATTTAAAACCACTGGTGAATCTTTTATTCTTGGATTAAGAAGATCTGGATTCCCTTCTAGTCTTCAAAAGCTTATTTGGTTGATAATATATGGTAGCAGAGAAACCTTACTGCTTAAAAAAAACTTTTTTATTTCTCCTTGTAGCTAAATGGTGTGTGGTTATTTACATATGTGCTTGCAGAAGATTTATCAGCAGACAGCTAATTCCCTTCTCGATCACATGGTTTTCTTCTTGATTATCTGTCAGTCATAAGATTTCTGTGTTAGGGAAGCCAAGATATTATTTAAAAACCCATACTTGTCTGCAAATTGCATTTGGCCTACACAACATAGGTCAGGCTGTCTGCTGCTTGCTAAATTTATCCAGTTGTGAGAAGGAAGAATGGCTACCAACTCTGCATTTTATCAACAGAGATGAAATGTATCATTAAAATACTGTATGCTCTTTTCCATTGCTGCGAATAAAAAGAATCAAAGGCATTGAAATGATCCAAGTCCCAACTAATAAAATGTGATTAGAAATATAGCTAGAATTGAAATTTCATCAGTGATTTCTCATCAAAAACCTTCAGTAGTACTAAAAATTCTTTCTTAAAAGTCATTTGATGTATCAATTTCAGCTCCAAAGGATGTAACTATGTTTGCACAAACATTTCCAGATTTTATAATAACTGCAATGGTTTGGTCTAAACTCATAACCCAGACCTCATTTGTGGACAGAGGCAGTAAGAGGGAGCAGAGCTAAGAGGAAGTTCTGTTTTGTCCAGTTTACCTAAGATTGTCATGGCAACTGTATGTTACATGTCAGAATTAGCCCTTTAATGTAAGATAAAACCAGATAAGGAGTGATTCTGGCAAAATATCTACATGTTCTCTGAGACTTCAGTGCTGATCCTCAAGGGAAGATCTGCAGAATGACTTCCAAAGACAAATCCGTGAGTTGAATCCTTAATTCTGAATTTGAAAAAATACATACTCGGCAAAAATTTGCTTTGTACTTGGCCTTGCTTTTTTTTTTTCCTTCACAAATCATAACTTACCTGCCTTTCACAAAGATAATTATCTTACTTCCCATGCTCTTTCTCATCTGTTTCATTTCTCAACTGTTGCCCAGGCACAAAGTGTCTTGCTTTTCAGATGTTCTGGCTATCTAGTTAAAACTGGAGGAGTCAGCACAAACTGACCATTACTTTTGGAATTTGTTCCTCCAATTTCAGGCCTGAAGAAAGGCATAAGCACATGAAAGATTAGCTTCCAGTTCACTAGTCTTAAATATTGATTTGGAAAGTATGAATTAATGCATTTGTATATTCTAATATTGATAAAGAAGATAAGTTAGTTGTGGTTTATCATATAACAATTAAAACAAAGTTTGTATCTGCTTAGGTTAGTACTCATAAGATTGAAAGAAGCCTTAAAAGAGCAACTGCTAAGTGATGACGTCATTAGTGAAATTCTTAATATAGATATTTAGAAGAATAAAGAAACTGCTAATCAACTTGAAAAATGAAGGTGTTTAACTTATAAATAATTTGTTTCAGACAGTCTCTGAAAATCTAAGTCACATAAGGGTACTTGATGTCAACTTATGGCCATTCATTTCCATTTATTAAGGAGTTGTCAGTACCTTTTTTCATCATCATACACAATGCACTGAACAAGACAAAGTAAATAGCATGAGAATTGTAACAAAAACTTCAAATACAGTAGAGTTAGGTTGACTTTGTCCCAGTGCTCCGCAGAAGAAGTCTGTATTACTGGGTAGAAAATATGTTTGTTACTTGTATTAATTTAAAGTTATTTTTGTTTCACTGCCCTGAACTCAGATCAGCAGGGCCCCAGTCACACACATACTTTCAAAAAAAAAAAAAAAAAAAAAAAAAAAAAAAAAAAAAAAAAAAAAAAAAAAAAAAAAAGAAAAAAAAAATTAAAGAACTAAAGAAGCTGAACCAGCAGGTAAAACCCCCATATTTCTAAATAGGAAGTGAAGAAGTTACTGGAACCTTCCTCCACAGGGCTTATAGAAACCTGTAGCCATGCATGCTTCCAAATAGGAAACAAAATAGGAACTGTAAGGAGAAGAGGCAAAAAAACCCAAAACAAAAAACCCCAAAACAAAACCCTCAAACAAACAAACCAGCTGTTTAAAAGTGGAACAAATTTTTCCTTTTTTTCTCAGCAGCTAGCATTTTACACTTTTGGCGGTAGCCAGTATCGTAGATTTGATATCTAATGACATGAGATAAAATGTGGTGGGACAGGTAATACCTTTTATTGCAACCACAAGGTGGCTTAACAGAAGTCCAGAACTAGGTACTGCTTAATCTAGTGAGGACCAATGCCCGCACTGGCAGACCCACTTTGCTCCAAGTAAATTGGTTATGCTGGGGCCTGATGTGTGTTGGGGGTCATCTGGGCTTACATGTCTTCCCTCTTAGAACAATTTTAGTTGCTGAAGGAACTTATTAAGTATTAAATATGAACAGAACCTGCATTGTGACTGTAGAACAAAGCAGCAGAAGATGGGGTTACTACTGCAGTGAGTACAAAAATGGCATATGCCCAGCTCAAAGGCCTGCTATTACATCAGTCGTCAGAAAGAAGACAAGTTATTTTTAAACTTGAGGAAATATATAGCTTCCTTTGCTGTGTTTCATTAGTATTGCTGTATGATTTAATTCAAACACTTGGCCTGAGACATCTGGACAGTCCTTACAGTTTTACCTGTTGCTGCCCATTTAATGCAAGTGGTTTTTATATTTTGTGAGATGGAGAATCAGAGGACTGGGGGGCGGCGGGTTGGCAAGAGTGGGTGCCGTGTGGGAAGCCGCACAGCAAAGCACCGGAGCGGCTCCCAAACCAGCGCACCGCCGACGAGCTTCGCGCAGCGGGGTTTGTCACTGCCCCGCCAAGCTGCTCCGTGCGGAGCTGCCTTCGGCCTGCTTCCATGTCACCCAGCAGCGCAGGGCGGGCGGGGGCAGCGTCCCTGCCGTGTCCCCGCTCCCGGCTGGGTGCGGCGGCGTCTCCCCCGCGGCGAGCCCCCGCGGCGCCCCTCGGCCTCCCCGCCCCGCGGCCGGGCGGGGAAGCGCCGCGCTCCGCCCGCCCCGCCAGCCCGGGGCGCCGCCGCCCGCCCCGCCCCGTCCATCCCATCCCGTCCCATCCCGTGCCGAGCCCGGGGCAGCGGCCAGGGCAGCGGACGGAGCCATGTCGCACGGGGCGCGAGTGATCCGCACCGGGGTCAGCAGCGGGGGGCCCGCGGCCCCGCCGCCCGTCACCGTCGCCTCCTCCTCGGCGGGCTCGGACGCGGAGCTCATGGACGGCGGCTATTTCCGCTCCTGCGCCGGCATGCTGAAGGTGGCTCAGATGGTAAGGGGCGAGCGGGGCGGGGGCCGCTGCCGGGGCTCCCGCTGGGGCGCTCGCAGCCCGCGGGGATCGCGCTCATCCCTGCCGGACGCTTCCTGGCGGAGAGCGCCGTCGGGCAGGGCCGGAGCCGCGGCTCCGTGCGGGCTTGGCCCCCCAGCTCTCGCACATCCCAGCAGGACGAAAAGCCCGCGTTCCTCTGGCACAGCGCAGCTTTGCCGTCTGTCGGAAGCTGCCTTTGCCTTTCCTCATGCAGCAATGAGCACTTTTGGCCAGACGGACGCGTACGGGCCAAAGTAGCAGTGTTAACTTTTTGCCATGAACAGCGATAGCTCCGTGATGCGATGGCACATCGTGCTGCAGTGCAGCACCTCATCCGTAGCGTGGGTAAGGTTTTAGGAGACAGCGGGGCCAAGTGCCAGTGCCCACGGCGATCTGGTGGAGGTGGGCACCCCAGCTGAGGCTGCAGCTCCAGCTGGCTCCGTGCCTTGTCTCTCAGAGACCTCCAGCAGTGACCCGGTGGGGGATTTATGGCTGAAATTCAAAAGTCGATGGTGGAACGCTGCCAAGATTGGAGCTGATGCCTTAAGTCAGTGCATGAAATTCAGCTCCATGCAGATGTGGAGAAGATTAACAGATAGATTTGCTCTTTCTCATTTTTATGGCCCATAATTATCTGTAGGGTGATTTGTCAGCTTAATTACAGCAGTGGCAAGGATAATACTCAAGAAAGAGCGTGAAAGACATCAGGTACAGATACGTCCATATGTATGTTTTCATCCTGCAAAAACTTGTGCCTTGACAGAGTTTTATCCTGGAGTTGTTGCCTTCATCTTTTGTAAGTTCCCTTAGTGCCTTCTTTCCCCATGCCTGTATTTGTTCAGTCATTTTTTTTAAGTTGTGTAGATTATTAGCACCCAGATTTCTAAAATTACATTCAAAGTTAGG